TCACTGCATTGGCGACATGAGGGTCCAGCAAAATGGAGTCATCGACCCTGATCACTCGGTTCATGTGATCGGTGGCTCGGGGGTTCCACTCCGCGGCTTCCACTGTTGGCGGAGGGGAAGGGGGAGTCTGCTGCTGCCGTTGTTATTGCTGTTGTCGTTGTTGTTGCTGTTGCTGTTGTTGCAGAGGAGCAGGGGGTAACCCACGGCCTCTTCCGCTTTGCTGCTNTCATCGACCCTGATCACTCGGTTCATGTGATCGGTGGCTCGGGGATTCCACTCCGCGGCTTCCACTGTCGGCGGAGGGGAAGGGGGAGTCTGCTGCTGCCGTTGTTGCTGTTGTTGCTGTTGTAGTTGCTGTTGCTGTTGCTGCTGTTGCGGAGGAGCAGGGGGTAACCCACGGCCTCTCCCGCTTTGCTGCTGAGCGGAAGATGCCCTGGATCCCCTGCCGAGGCCATCGTGCCTATGTTTGACCCTTCTCTCCTCCTCTACCTGAGGATCCCGATCACGCACTTGACCCCGACTAAGAACTCTTGAGGATGGGGTGGAACTGGTCCATGCAGATGGGGCGCCGCCGGTCGATCCTCGACCCCTCCCGGCAGCAAGGGCTTGCCTCTGCCTCAGGAACCCCAGGTCAATGCGAGGCGTGCTGGACATCGCGACCTCGAGGGCGTCCTCGGCGTCTAGAGATTGTAGAACTTGGAAGTCCGGCCACAAATCTCCTCCCGAAGTCCCCACCTCGGCGTCCGAAGGAACAAAGTCCTCTCTGACCCCGAGCTCTTCAACTACTCCCTCTACTTCTGCCTCCGAAGCCCGATCAGGGTCTTCTTCCAAGTTTTCCTCGACCTCTTGCCTCGCCGCCTGATCGAAGAGTTAAGACCACCGCGAAGGCTCAAAAGGCTGAGGAAACTATGAAAATTTCTTATACCCGGGGGTGTAATTCCGCAGGACGTGGGCAGCCCGGCTGAACCCGTTGTCACCAGTAAATCTCCAAACCGCGATNTCGGAGGGGATACGCCGGAAAACACTCTGGCGCCCTTCTAACTTGTTCTTCTTTGTTCCAGGAACCTTTCTTCAGCCTTACTGGATCGTTCTTCCGCTCCCCCAGGGTCTCCCGTTGCCGTTCCAGGTTACCACCGGACCTCGCAGGCTGTTCCAAGTAGCGTGGTTGGTCACTCAACCGGCTCACTCGAGTTCACCAAGGGAGAGATCTGTTCTCGTTTTTTATATTGTGCAGGATCTTGCATGCACAATACTTTTCTCAGTGTTTTGTTGTTTTTTCGCTAATCGTGACATTTCAAATTTTGATCTGTTTCTTTTTTTGAGTTTACTTTGGCATGCTAACCTTATATTGTAAAGATAACCCCAAAAAAAGAAGGATAGAAGGAGGGCCTTTGTTAGGGCAATGATTGAAGATATGCTTCCCCCTCCCCTACTACACAAGAAATAAGAAAGAAAGAAGATAAGCTTGTCAATAGGAACGGATACAAAGAATGCTAAAAAGAAGAAGTTGGGAACTTTATGTGAATCTCTACTTAGACTTTTCTGTGAACATGTTTTGGATTAAATTAAGGTTTTGAGTGTACAAAAATTTAAGGCAAATAAGTTGGTGTAATTCAGGTCTCTAATGGTATTTGGGTCTTATTTCGTACCATGTTCAGTTTTGTTTATTGGCTTGCTTATATAGTTTGGTTCATGTAATGTGTTTAAAAGTTCATGCCCATGTCATGAAGTCCAACTCTTCTTGTCTAGCCTAGACCTAGAGACGAAGGCTATACTTCATCACCGTGTTTAATTGGCCACTGTTCACTTGATTTTGTGTAACGTGTTATTTTGTCGTACCTTTGCTAGGGTAAGTGTAATTCATCTTCTATGTCCTTTTCATCTCTCCTCCTATCCTAGTACTTGTAATCCTTCCAAACCTCCACCAGATTTGATCAGCTTACTAATTAATGGGTGGTTGACTTTGTCTACTCGAAATATAAAGACATAGAAAAGAAAGAAGAAGAAAAATATAGGATTCCAACTAGAGTTCTCGAGCACTAATGCAAGCAGCAAGGTTATTCTGTTTAGATCAAAGGACTCTTATCGAATATTGCATCAAATACAATACTTGTTAAATACTTGATAATACTTGTAGGGTATACACCATATGCGTTCTATTTCAAACTGAATCATGGGCTTAGTTCAGAGTCCGATAAATATCTGTTAGGCTGAGTAGCTTGTTCCTTTGGAGCGGTAGCATCATCTTTGGATTTTAGTCAAAAAAGGGATATATTGCACTCTATATTGTTTATGGATTCATGATCGGGCTGAGAGATAATAGACATAATAGCCTGAACACTAGAATTATCAACTTTAGAATTGTTAGCAGCCACATATGAGTCAATGACATATTACCTGATGAGAAGAATCAACTCTCAAATGAGAATCATGAGAAGTAGTACTGTATGTGCTGATAAGTTTTATTTTAACAAGAAAAAGATTATGCTCCGTCTAATTGTCCGAAGTAGTGTTTGGAAGATTAGATTTATATTATCAAAAGATGATTTAATGGTGTTGTCCGTTGGCCCGTGGACTTGACGTGGGGTAGGTTTTTCTCTTTGACCTTGTGCAGATTTTTCCCTAGAGACATGAGAGTTAGGAGCTGACGGTTGTTGGTTGAACTTCTCTTTGCTAACTGCATCAGTTGCACTAGTGTTTTTCGAACGAAGTTTGCAGTTTGACTTTGCATGACTTTGTTTGGAACAAGACATATAGTACCTTAAGTCCTTATCATACACGATTTTCTACCATCTTTCTTCGTTTTGTCTCATGCCTAACCAAACCCATAACAATATGCGTAGTTTTAAATTTAATCTTATACCTTTACTTCTTTAATTCACAAAAAATGATCCTTAATCATCTCTTGGAACAAATATTTCTCAGCGAACCATCTAGTGAAATGCTAGTTCTAGTCCCTTGAATTAGTCACATTCTGTATCCTATTTTTTAGGTTTCTCCTTATTGCTATGTTTGTCTAATATACTTGTTTTCCATATTGATATCATTACTTTCTAGGTAATAATTAAGATTAGGTTGCGTTAAGCATCGCGCCAAGTTCCAGAAGTTTTGCAGAAGCGCACTATTATAAATTGGGGGATCAAAATATGATTTTAGGCTGCTGAGATTCTCTTAATTCCACTAGGACTAAGACTACGCAATGGGAAACTGCTTGCTATTTGACTGTAAGACTATTCTGAGACATCTAAGATCACACAAGATGACCTAATAAGATAACTTGGCTCAGAACTCAACAACTGATGGCCAACAAGTATATAGATTACCTAAAGCACCTTTACCCTTTGAATTATGATGAAATAGAAGCAAACAGTTCCAGACTTTCTTATGCTGAAAATGCCTATGGAATTAAAATTTCCAATTTCTTTCCTGTCCACATGTTCTGCATGGGTTAGGGGGTTGTTAAGTTCAACAATGAAGTACGTAGGTTCAAGTCTAAGAGTAGTTACTTTGGGTAAACTTACCAAAAGTTAGCTCCATATATAGTCTACTTTTCCCAGCTGCTTAAGTGGGACCACACTGGTTAGGGACTTTTATGCTATGCATAGAGTTATTTGTATGAAAGAGGCTATTTTTCACATTCATTGCATAGAATGATAGGGAAGACGATATAAAGGGGTTGGGGGTGGAGGACGGGAGCTGAAGAACAAGTTGAAGCTTCTTATAGTGACTGAAGAGAAACGGAAAAAGAAAAAAAAGGACCAAATCTGCATGAAATGTTGCTTTTGTTTTGATTAAGTTGTGTTCTAGCGTCCTATTTATACAAAATTGTATCAGGTGATCTCTTTCTCGCTCTCTCTGATAGATGATGAGTGATCTCTTTCTCACTCTCTCTGGTAAATGATCAGGTGGTAAGTGTCATTGTTATTCGATGGTTTGTATCTGTTTCAGTTTTATGATTCTAATTTGTAATTATTCTTTTTGATTTTTGCATTTGTGTCGGCCAACCCAATGTTGTGCAGTTGCCACAACTGATGTAGTTTTGTATGATGAAACTGCAGTTAAAATTACTTAAGCTGGATGGGTAAGACGATTCAGGTGTATGGATTTCCCACTCACGTGTCTGCAGCAATGGTTCAAAAATTTCTAGAGGATTATACAGGAAAAGGAACTGTGTATGCTTTAGAGGTTAAGGTTTCCAATGAAAGGAATAGAGCATATGCTAAAGTACAGTTTACCAATAGGAGAAGTGCTGAGGATATCATCTCATTGGCAAATCGGCGGCGGCTCTGGTATGGGTCCTCTTATTTAAAAGCTAGGGAAATGGACTCTGACATCATATCAAATTCTCGGACCTATGTGCATTGCATGGAACAGGTAAGCCTACATTTTGGGTGTCAGACGTCAAGGGAGAATTTTTCAGTTCTCTGGAAAAAGGCAAATGTTTCTGTAAAATTTGGGATTGGATTGAAAAAAATGTACTTCTTCCTATCCCACCTTTTTGTTGGTTACAAGCTTGTGCTATCCTACGAAAACATCTGGCAAGTTGAGCTACATTGTCCACGTGGTCAAACTGCAAAGTTTCTCCTCATTCAGGTCTGTTCCATTAATTTTCACTAATACGACCATGTTGGCATGTCAGTATTTTCTTTTCATTGTTCTTTATATGTTGAACAAGTGGATTTCTTCAGTCTTTGTTCTTAATTTGCATGGATTTCTTAACTTGCACCTCTAGTTTATGTGATGGCTTCCGTAGATGTGAAATTATTAGTGATTAGCTAATCTTCCCCCAAACTAAGATGCATAGTACAGTTGTTCTGAACTGATTAACTTAGTTTAGAATTTTACCATTATGTTGATCTATAGACCCATAGATTTATGTGTAGTGGTACCCTATTACTGGGAAAAAATGTTTCTTTGTGAATGCCTTGAATTATGGTGGGACTGGGACAAATGAGTAATATTCGTTCATCCAGGATTATGAAACCATCCCCAGGGAAGCGATGTAATAATAAAGGTGCTTGGGAATAGAGAGGGAGGACTCTTGAGAACACCGTGTGAGGTTAAGCACGTAGCTGAAAGGATCCTTTGCTTAGAATGAGGCACAATGAGCCCAGTAGGGTGATTTTGTATCTCTGAGGGCTTTTAGTAGAAAGGCTACGTTACAATTTACATGCTTCTTGTGGAAATTGGTGACTGCAAGGTTTATATGGGCTTAGTAACCTTTGCTGAAGTATGCAACTGACGGTATAGTTTGAACAATACATTAGGAGGCAAAAACTGTCCCAAAGGTTCAGAAAGCCTTTTATTTGTTTGGATTAGGTGAATGGTTTCATCCTTATCTGACAGGGGTCTAAACTTGTTTAAGTGGCCATGCCCTAGAACCACTATAGCTACCTAGGGCTTGTGTGATCTTCCTGTTGCCACTGACCAGGGCTAAGCTCGTTGAGGGCACCCTAGTCCATCCTAATAGTCATATGTCAACTATTAAGAGCATTACCCTTGAATGAAACGCTTCTAGTTGTTTCCCTTGAATCTATAACAAAGAAATGTGGCGACGTCAGTGTGACTCAGGTTGGACACCTCATTGGCACTGGTAGTGTTTCTTGTGATATGTTTCTAGCTGGGGTTAATCTAGCTTTTCGATAGTACTTCTTAGTGTAACAAGTGAGGAGGTTGCTAGAAGTTCATGATGTCCTTCCAGTTCCTCGAAGTGCTCTATGTTAGTTAGATCATCTAAGCATCAGCCACATGATTGCTTCGTTTGAATAATTAGCCTGCTCAGTAATGATGCCTCATTTAATTAGCTGATCATTAGACAATTTTGAAACACCATATTTTTCAACATCTGCAAAACTTTTGTCATCTAACTGCAAGGATGGTAATTTTGTTTTGTTTCCACCAAAACGACTGAAACATTTCAGTTTCCATGGAAACTAAAACAATAAGGATTGAATATCGTAACTTCTTCTTTCGAAGTGTCTCAAGATGTTTTGGTATGTTTCGCAAACAAATTCTTAATTTTTTTTAAGTTCACATTTTGTTTCCAAAATATCTTGAAACATTTCCATTACCTAGCTGTCCGAAACTTTGTATTGAAACAGAATTTTTGTACTTGTCTAACTGTAAAATATGCTTATGCCATCATTTTCGATGGAGAAAAAAGATTTCACTTTTTGCAATTACGTTCTACTTGATGTAAAGTGTCAAAACAACCTTATAATTGTGTTTTATCTGAGCCATAGTTTCTTGGCTTTGGGCATTGATCAAACACCAATGGAGCTTCCTAATCCTATTCCTAACTATTGGGTTGAAGCTGATTGTCAATTTTGATTTGAGGACTCTTTGGACTTTCATCAAACATTAGATTAGTGTTCCATATTTAGTATCTTCATTACTTCATTTTGAAGATGATCATTCATCTAAGTGTTTGTCATTTTGTTATTTGGTGCATCAGTTTAACTTGTGTGTTCTCCATCAGCATGTTACCTCCCTTTACATGTCTTGTCACGTGTTTTTGCTTATACATGGTATGTGGAGTTGGTACTTAACACATCTATGCATATTCTCTCTTTTAATCTAGTTATATGGTGCTCCTCGGATCTATGAGCAAGTTGAAGATTCCCTTCATAGCTATTTCAAGGAAACCCCTGATGATCAATGGGTCAGGACAACTGATTTCACTCAATCATTCTGCATCGGGCAATCTTCTGGTTTATGTCTGGAGATTCCTTACAGAATTCAGCTTCCAAATTTCCACGAAAACTTTCCTTACTATAAAGAAAGTGCAAGCCAATTTACATTGGTGAACGGTTACACATTTTCTAACAATTCGGATCTAGTCCCCATTGTGGGTCCTCCAGGTGGACTTGAGTTGCCATATAAAATATTATTCAAGATTTGTTCCCTGGTTCAACATGGGTGTCTTCCAGGACCAGCACTTGATATCAATTTTTTCCGTTTGGTTGATCCACAGAGAATGGATATTGGATGTATTGAACATGCCCTAGAGAAACTGTATCTTTTGAAGGAGTGCTGCTATGACCCTGTAAGGTGGATTAATCAGGAATACCAAAAATACCACACTTCTAGGAGACTTCGTAAAACGCCTGATGTTGCTTTAGATGATGGGTTGGTATATGTACGTAGGGTTCAAATAACCCCATGCAAAGTGTACTTTTGCGGTCCAGAGGTTAATGTGTCTAATCGCGTATTACGCAATTATTCTGCATATATTGATAATTTCCTTCGTGTTTCTTTTATTGATGAGGAGTGGGATAAAATGCATTCCATGGACTTATCTCCCCGTACAGCTTCTGCAAATGAGGACAGAAGAACCNTTTGTTTCCAAAATATCTTGAAACATTTCCATTACCTAGCTGTCCGAAACTTTGTATTGAAACAGAATTTTTGTACTTGTCTAACTGTAAAATATGCTTATGCCATCATTTTCGATGGAGAAAAAAGATTTCACTTTTTGCAATTACGTTCTACTTGATGTAAAGTGTCAAAACAACCTTATAATTGTGTTTTATCTGAGCCATAGTTTCTTGGCTTTGGGCATTGATCAAACACCAATGGAGCTTCCTAATCCTATTCCTAACTATTGGGTTGAAGCTGATTGTCAATTTTGATTTGAGGACTCTTTGGACTTTCATCAAACATTAGATTAGTGTTCCATATTTAGTATCTTCATTACTTCATTTTGAAGATGATCATTCATCTAAGTGTTTGTCATTTTGTTATTTGGTGCATCAGTTTAACTTGTGTGTTCTCCATCAGCATGTTACCTCCCTTTACATGTCTTGTCACGTGTTTTTGCTTATACATGGTATGTGGAGTTGGTACTTAACACATCTATGCATATTCTCTCTTTTAATCTAGTTATATGGTGCTCCTCGGATCTATGAGCAAGTTGAAGATTCCCTTCATAGCTATTTCAAGGAAACCCCTGATGATCAATGGGTCAGGACAACTGATTTCACTCAATCATTCTGCATCGGGCAATCTTCTGGTTTATGTCTGGAGATTCCTTACAGAATTCAGCTTCCAAATTTCCACGAAAACTTTCCTTACTATAAAGAAAGTGCAAGCCAATTTACATTGGTGAACGGTTACACATTTTCTAACAATTCGGATCTAGTCCCCATTGTGGGTCCTCCAGGTGGACTTGAGTTGCCATATAAAATATTATTCAAGATTTGTTCCCTGGTTCAACATGGGTGTCTTCCAGGACCAGCACTTGATATCAATTTTTTCCGTTTGGTTGATCCACAGAGAATGGATATTGGATGTATTGAACATGCCCTAGAGAAACTGTATCTTTTGAAGGAGTGCTGCTATGACCCTGTAAGGTGGATTAATCAGGAATACCAAAAATACCACACTTCTAGGAGACTTCGTAAAACGCCTGATGTTGCTTTAGATGATGGGTTGGTATATGTACGTAGGGTTCAAATAACCCCATGCAAAGTGTACTTTTGCGGTCCAGAGGTTAATGTGTCTAATCGCGTATTACGCAATTATTCTGCATATATTGATAATTTCCTTCGTGTTTCTTTTATTGATGAGGAGTGGGATAAAATGCATTCCATGGACTTATCTCCCCGTACAGCTTCTGCAAATGAGGACAGAAGAACCGCTGTTTATAAGAGGATACTGTCAATTCTTAGAAAGGGCATAGTTATTGGTAGTCAGAAATTTGAGTTTCTTGCCTTTTCATCAAGTCAGCTACAGGATAATTCTGCTTGGATGTTTGCTTCAAGACCTGGGCTTACTGCAGATGGTATTAGAACGTGGATGGGTGATTTTCATCAAATTAGAAACGTGGCGAAATATGCTGCCAGACTTGGTCAGTCATTTGGTTCCTCCACAGAAACTTTGAATGTTGCTAGCCATGAAATTGAAATTATTCCTGACGTTGAGGTTGTAAGAGGTGGAGTCAGATATGTTTTCTCTGATGGAATTGGGAAAATATCTGCTGACTTTGCTTGCAGAGTTGCTATAAAATGTGGCCTTAATAGTTCTACTCCATCTGCCTTTCAGATCCGGTATGGTGGATACAAAGGTGTTGTGGCTGTTGATCCCATTTCATCAATGAAGTTGTCACTGAGAAAGAGCATGTCCAAGTATGAATCAGAAAACACAAAATTAGATGTTCTGGCATGGAGCAAGTATCAACCTTGTTTTATGAATCGTCAAATAATCACTCTTTTGTCTACTCTTGGGGTCAAAGATCATGTCTTTGAAAAGATGCAAAGAGAAGCAGTGAATCAACTGAACACCATATTAACAGATCCTCTAAGGGCAAAGGAGGCGCTAGATTTGATGTCTCCAGGAGAGAACAGTAAAATTCTCAAGGAAATGCTTCTGTGTGGTTATAAGCCTGATGCGGAACCATTCCTCTCAATGATGCTGCAAACATTTCGGGCATCAAAATTGCTGGACTTGCGGACTAGGACAAGAATTTTTGTTCCTCGTGCAAGGTCAATGATGGGATGTCTAGATGAAACTGGAATCTTAGAGTATGGGCAGGTATTTGTGCAACTTTCCGGCACTGGAGGTAGGCTGTTTGATGATGTTTCCCTTAAGTACAATGACAGTGTCTTGGACCAGTGTAATTTCATAGTTGAGGGCAAGGTAGTTGTTGCGAAAAACCCGTGCTTGCATCCTGGTGATGTGCGTGTTTTAAGGGCTGTTGATGTGCCAGCATTGCACCATATGGTGGATTGCATTGTTTTTCCACAGAAAGGAAAGAGGTAAAACATGATTGTGAAAACTTTTGAACTCATGTAGTATATATGAGTGTTTGAATGCCCTTTGATATATCAATTTAATATTTATTAGTATTTTTTCGGTTATCCTGGGAGATTTAATTATGTTTTGGATAAATCTTTTAGTTACCTCACAAAGTTTCTGAAAAGTGGAGTATTATTTATGACTGCTTTTATGGCCAAGTTAGTGACCAACATCTTTCTGTTACCACTCTCACTTACCTTTGGCAAATTTTAATTACAGACCTCATCCAAATGAATGCTCTGGAAGCGACTTGGATGGTGACATTTACTTTGTCTGTTGGGACTCCGGTCTGATTCCACCCCGGCAATTCCAACCTATGGATTATACCCCAGCACCACCTATGCTGTTGGATCATGAAGTTACAATTGAGGTATTATTCACATGGTTAGATGTTGTAGTAGTTTGGTAACTCCTCCTGTTGTTCCTATAATGGATTATCCTTCCGATGGGTTAACATTTCTTATATCCACCTATGCATGTTTCCCATTTGATCTATCTTTTGCTATTACCATTGACCGGTCCCTGACAAATTGAGGCTGCTAGAGGGGGTGGACTGGGAATAGACCACCTTACTCTTGTTTTTTTGGCTCAAAATGGCTGCCCTTATTTTGAATCCACGACATTGGCATTATTAACTGGAGAGCCAGTTTACCATTGCACTAGGCAATGATTTATTCTCTCATGTTGGTGCTATTTTTTTTTTTTGAAAGTCACAAATTTACATTTTCTGTGGCCTTCTAATTTCTTTTAGAAGGTACACGTCTTCTAACACACATGAGAGAATAAATCATTTGGCCCTCACATGAGACCCACCTAACCACGTCTCCCTATTGGGGGCAGCGAAATAGGTCCAGTTCTGGTACCACCTGCAACGACTCAAGTCAATTGCATGTGATATTATCTGTTTTTGATCCGGGTTTGAGTTTGATTGACTGCGGGCTTAGGAGCTCTATTGAATTTGAGTTGTGTGTTTTCGCAGTGTTTGTGTGCTGAACCTAGCCACCAGTGTGTTCTTTTGTGTTAGCAGCGTGCCCGTGTCTGTATGCGTGTGTTTAGTTTTGTTGTTCCAGTAAAATTCAGAGTGGCAGTGATGAACAGGGTTGCTACGGGAGTAGAAGTCTTGTTGTCGACTCATTGAGTCTTCTTACTAAATTAGGGAAGCACTTGAGTACTCAATGATGCTGCCTAAGGCTGTTTATTTTGCTGTTGTAAGTTACGGAAAAACATAGTTTTGATTTCTTTATTTTCAGTTGAAAGAGATGCTATGTCATCTCGATGGATGAGGATTATAATTAGCTTGCATTCAAGGTTACAAATGGACAAATTTTGAAGTATTGCTGGAGTTTTGAGGTAGCAACTAGTACTGAAGATGGTTTTTGGAAAAGTTAGCGATGTCTAGGGGCTTTTGTGTCGAATATGAGACCAAAACAATGTTTTCTTTTGAACAAAACAAATAACTTAGTCGTGGATAAAGTTGAAGCAAAAGGAGGCGGACAAGGAGGTCTGAGATTTCTTAGGCATAGCACCTTGCATTTGGGTCTGAGTTGATCTCAGCTTTGTTGAGAATAATGCATTGCTGTTGGATATCCCCTGTTCCCTGTCAAGATTTGACTCCAGTAAAAAAGAAAAATTAATCTTGGCCAAGCTCTTACCTGGTTTGTTCTTTACTCTGTTTTGCTTTGGTGTAAGTTGCAGATAAACCAGCTGGTTTACCACAGCATATTCTAGAAGCCACGAAGTTTTTCTGGAATACCTATCTGTCATTACCATAACAACAGAAACTACTACAAGCAGTTTCTACCACCAAAAAGTGAATAAACAAATTCCCCCGTGTCTACAACTACTACTACTAAACTAGCTACCTAAGATCCAAAGGGAACTTTGAAAAAAAGAAGCATCAGGTAGAACGACCTGTTTTTATAGGACAATGAGTAAAATATCCTTGAAATTTAACTAACTAAAATTCTTCTTTGTATTGGTCATTTTAGCGTCTTGTTCCATGGTGTCACTTTTAGATAAAATATCTTGGTTTGCTCTCCCAAAGACAGTAATTTAAATTACTACTGCTCCCATCATCACCCCTGCTGCTGCTCTGCTACCATATTGACTGCTTTCTCCACCCATGTCGCAATGTGTTATTCACTATGCATTTTGTTTTATAGTGGATAATAAGCAGAACTGCATATGAAAGAGAGACTGAACATGATGTTTACCCTGGCTAGGAAATTAGCTGACGTTACAACAGCAGCTTGAGGTGAAGTAGCTGCAGCACACCTTGCTTATGAAAATCCAAAATAATTGCTAAGGCACTCGGTCATACTCCTTGGTTAATTTAGTTTGCCTGTTTTTGACAATGCAGTACATTTTTATGTTTACTGCAGGAAGTCGAGGAGTTTTTTACCAACTATATACTCGATGACAGTTTAGGAATTATTTCAAATGCCCACACAGTCCTTGCTGATAGGGAACCTTCCAAGGCAATGAGTGGTCCTTGTTTAGAGCTTGCGAGGCTTTTTTCAATTGCAGTTGACTTCCGAAAAACGGGAGTTCCANAGTTTTGTTGTTCCAGTAAAATTCAGAGTGGCAGTGATGAACAGGGTTGCTACGGGAGTAGAAGTCTTGTTGTCGACTCATTGAGTCTTCTTACTAAATTAGGGAAGCACTTGAGTACTCAATGATGCTGCCTAAGGCTGTTTATTTTGCTGTTGTAAGTTACGGAAAAACATAGTTTTGATTTCTTTATTTTCAGTTGAAAGAGATGCTATGTCATCTCGATGGATGAGGATTATAATTAGCTTGCATTCAAGGTTACAAATGGACAAATTTTGAAGTATTGCTGGAGTTTTGAGGTAGCAACTAGTACTGAAGATGGTTTTTGGAAAAGTTAGCGATGTCTAGGGGCTTTTGTGTCGAATATGAGACCAAAAAAATGTTTTCTTTTGAACAAAACAAATAACTTAGTCGTGGATAAAGTTGAAGCAAAAGGAGGCGGACAAGGAGGTCTGAGATTTCTTAGGCATAGCACCTTGCATTTGGGTCTGAGTTGATCTCAGCTTTGTTGAGAATAATGCATTGCTGTTGGATATCCCCTGTTCCCTGTCAAGATTTGACTCCAGTAAAAAAGAAAAATTAATCTTGGCCAAGCTCTTACCTGGTTTGTTCTTTACTCTGTTTTGCTTTGGTGTAAGTTGCAGATAAACCAGCTGGTTTACCACAGCATATTCTAGAAGCCACGAAGTTTTTCTGGAATACCTATCTGTCATTACCATAACAACAGAAACTACTACAAGCAGTTTCTACCACCAAAAAGTGAATAAACAAATTCCCCCGTGTCTACAACTACTACTACTAAACTAGCTACCTAAGATCCAAAGGGAACTTTGAAAAAAAGAAGCATCAGGTAGAACGACCTGTTTTTATAGGACAATGAGTAAAATATCCTTGAAATTTAACTAACTAAAATTCTTCTTTGTATTGGTCATTTTAGCGTCTTGTTCCATGGTGTCACTTTTAGATAAAATATCTTGGTTTGCTCTCCCAAAGACAGTAATTTAAATTACTACTGCTCCCATCATCACCCCTGCTGCTGCTCTGCTACCATATTGACTGCTTTCTCCACCCATGTCGCAATGTGTTATTCACTATGCATTTTGTTTTATAGTGGATAATAAGCAGAACTGCATATGAAAGAGAGACTGAACATGATGTTTACCCTGGCTAGGAAATTAGCTGACGTTACAACAGCAGCTTGAGGTGAAGTAGCTGCAGCACACCTTGCTTATGAAAATCCAAAATAATTGCTAAGGCACTCGGTCATACTCCTTGGTTAATTTAGTTTGCCTGTTTTCGACAATGCATTACATTTTTATGTTTACTGCAGGAAGTCGAGGAGTTTTTTACCAACTATATACTCAATGACAGTTTAGGAATTATTTCAAATGCCCACACAGTACTTGCTGATAGGGAACCTTCCAAGGCAATGAGTGGTCCTTGTTTAGAGCTTTCGAGGCTGTTTTCAATTGCAGTTGACTTCCCAAAAACGGGAGTTCCGGCTGAGATACCCCCTCATCTGCGTGTGAAAGAGTACCCAGATTTCATGGAAAAGCCTGACAAAACCACCTACATATCAGAACGCGTGATTGGAAAGCTTTTCCGAGAGGTAAAAGACATTGCACCAGAAACAAGCTCTATTAGAACCTTCACAAGGGAAGTGGCGAGACGGTCATATGATCCTGACATGGAAGTAGATGGTTTCAAGGATTACATTGATGATGCTTTTGAATATAAAACTGAGTATGATTACAAGTTGGGAAACATGATGGATTACTATGGCATAAAAACCGAATCTGAAATACTGAGCAGGGGAATTATGAAAATGTCAAAATCTTTCAACCGGAAAAGGGATGCAGAAGTAATTGGTTTGGCTGTAAGGTCCTTAAGGAAGGAAGCCAGGACCTGGTTCAAGAAGAAAGGGAGTGACTCAGATGCTGGAGCTGATGACATTTATGCAAAAGCATCGGCTTGGTATTATGTAACATATCATCCTACGTATTGGGGTTGCTACAATGAGGGAATGGATCGGGATCATTTCCTTAGTTTTCCATGGTGTGTCTACGACAAGCTCATCGAGATCAAAAAGGATAAATCAAGTGTCAGAAGGACTCCCCATATGTCTTTGCTTGAACGGCAGTTTGATTATGGGTTGAGTCTGAGTTGAGAACTTTGGCATCAAGCCAGTTCAATATTTTCCTAATTTGAAGCATGTGAAGCTCTGTGATTTTATGGTTTTTCTTGGCTACCTTAGCAGCTTATGTATGTATTTATGTTCTGTGTTTGCTCATTTGAGGGTGTATATTGTCTGAACTAATAGGTGTAAATGGGCATTGTGTATGTACAAAAATAATAAGTGATGCTTTCCTAATCGTTTTTCTTCAATTCTGCAGCTTTGTGTTGGGTGCCAAACCCTTATACTATATTCTTGTTAGCAGAGGCATGAAGAAGTTTAACACATTACATGAGTTTACTATGTGACATATGTTACTCAAGGAACATGTTGGGTTCCACACTTGATCCCAAAAAAATCGACTCGAGGCATGCTCCTTGTTGACATGAATTGGTCGGGTGAGATATGATAGAATGATCGGTGCAAATCTCGTAAATGCTTGACACAACTCATTAAATACCTGATAGAGATAATTAAGTATATAATCCGTGTGCATTAAATGTTTAATCTCGTGAATAAGGTAATCATTGTTGGATTTGACCTCAAGCAACTGTCTAGTAAATTTGCAACTTGAGAGAGACACTAATCACTGATTACTCACCCGTAAGGGTGTACCTCACGAAGTGTCATGTCATCATCTCTCAATATATAAATAGTTTAAGAAATTGGGTCTCAAGTACATAAGTGTAACTTAACTCACACAACACTCTCAATCCTCTTGACTTGAACACCGACCGAGAAATATTATAGACATAACTTTTGTCTATTTCTAATTCCGTTCTTCGTTACAAAATCTCACCCATTTTATCTCAATTATTATGTAAAATTCAGCCCGTGCATGTTTCTTTACACATTATTTGGTTTAACTTACCCAAAGAAAACATTGTTAGGTTTGTTTTCAAGATATCCTTGTTTTAAATATTGTAGAGGGCATAATCATATTCCGAAATACTTAGAATTCCCGATGCCAAGCAAAAATAAAATTTTATATTCAAAGGATAGATAGAAATGCCTTTCACTCTTTCCAACTATCAATAAAAGTACCCACAAAACCCAAATGACTAATATACCCTTCCAACCCAACTGGGCACAACACCAGCACAAAGGTTAAAACAAGGAATTAAGGTACATCTTGGGCCAAACAAATACAGTGAAAGGTTGAAGAAACATATCATCATGGTGGTGTTTGGGTAGTGGGTTAAAGGTGGTTATCCACTTAGTTGGATGGGATAAAATAGGTGAGGCAGGGGGATGGGATGTTTCTAAGGGTGGTTGCCCCTCTCTGCTACATACCCGATGATTTCACTGACTATCGAAAAATCAACAGCCCTTCGGTAAATTTCACTTTGCACCCCTGAAAGATGCGTAAAATAGACTGTTGCCCTTTAACATTCCTCGCTCAAAGAATGAGGCTGCAGGGAGATGGGATTTTCTTTTAGGGTGGTTGCCCCTCTCTGAAAGCCAATGATTTCACCATTCACTTAACCAACAGCCCTTTTTCACTCTGTCTCAGAGTGTCCACACACACATGCGTCCGGACTCCGGATCTGTGTATGTGTGTGTGTTTGTAAAGGGTTGAAACCCTTTTCATGGCTTTCTTTTTCTTTTTTTTTTTCTATGATGCAGTTGCTGCTGTTGTTGATCTTGGTTATTTTGCTGATCCGACCCGTATATCTGAGAGGCTGGGATGATAACTTTTCTGAGCAAATAGATCAGGGATTGAGACAATCCGGCCCGTATCTTGGCGGGGCAAACCGGATGGTATGTGGGTTGTTCTCTCTCACATGCAACTGGTTTTGCAGCCATGGCGTGAGTCGCTCATTCTCTTGCCTGATACAATACAGATCTGAGCCTCAGAATTTTACTATATATTTTTCTTATGTATTTCTCAAACGTTTTTCCTCTAAATCTTTTATAATTTGTTTACTTGGTTCTGAAATCTCTATGTTTTCTGGGGTAACCTTCAGTTGGGTGTGTTTTATTTTTAATCTTTCTTATTAATGTTTCTATTAAGAGTGTATATCCGAATAAGACAGTGTTAAGGTTAATTTTTCCAATAAAATTGCTAATTTCCTTTTTTTTTTTTT